GGAGCCCCGCCTGTCCCGAGAGCCGGGAGACGAGCTCCTGAATGGGACGGGCGCAGGTTTCTAACATCGTGGGGACCCCCGGAGCCAGCAGGGACCCAGGACGCCAGCCCTCACCCGCCCTCGCCTCAGCCCGTCCTCACCCCGGACGCCGTGGGGGGGAGGGGGCCCAGGAAGGGGAAGTGGCCGCTTCTGCTTCTGATTTTGTGATGGGGGCAGGGTGTCACGCCCGCCGGGGGCGAGGGCAGCGCGCTGGACCACCACCCTCCTCCCCGATGCCCGGGTGCAGACCTGGGCCCCCTTGTTAGGGGGAGGGGGGCGGGACCGGGGTTGGCGTGGCGGCGGCTGCAGAAACGTGGCCAGGTCCGACCTGGGCGTGCAGCCGTCTTTGTGCTGTGCGTGTGCGCGCGGGGGTCACTACTCGGTCTCTGTGTCCCTGGTGTCGCCTGTGTGTACCACGTGTATTCCCATCTGTCTGGCCTGGGGTCCATGTGGCTCCATTGTCAAGGGCGGCTGCCTCTGGGCCGTCTGTTTTGTCGCTTGGCTTCTGGGGCTGTGCCTGTGTGGGTGTCTGCGGCTGTGCGCAGCTGTCTCTCTTTGCGCGTGTCTGCTGGGTCCATCTGTCGGCCTCAACGTGTTCCCCCCTCCGACCCAAGCTCTCGGGGCCAGGCCTCTGCCTGCCTGCCTGTCAACCCCTCCAGAGAGGCACAGGCCTCCCGGTATATCACATCATATCCCCTCCCCCAGGGCTCACCCCGGCGCCTGATGGCAGGAAGAGGTACAGTGACATCTTCCGGAGCCTGGACAACCTCGAGATCTCTCTGGGGAATGTGTGAGTGCGCCTAGGTCACCCCGAGACCATCCCAGGATCCCCCCCCCCCCCAACGCCTTCTCTGGTACCAGCCTACGTCACAACCCACTTCCCGGCTAACCTGAGAGGTCCGATGTGACTCTCCAAAAATCATGCCCCCAAGTTCACTGGAGGTCCCCAGAGATGTCTTGGACACTCCCCCCCCCCAACCTGGTCCTTCTTGTCACCCCTTAGGCCCATGTGAGCCACTCAAGGGACCCTTCAAACCCTTTCTCAAGGCTCGTTTGGAAACAATAATAGTAAAGTAGGTCCTCTCCGAAAACCTCACTGTTCAGGCCTCTGATTCCAGTGTTGCCATGGAGGTGACTCCCCCAGCGCCCCCCGCGGGGACAGACTGGGCGGACGCTGGCATCCTGACACCCTTACCCCCAGGGCCCTCGAGATGCTGCCTGGAGACCCCGGACTCTCAGCAGACCCTGAGCCTGACAAGGCCCCCACAGCCACGGTGGTGAGTGGGGTCGAGGTACAGGGGGAAGGACCCTCCTGGGGCGGGGGGTGGGCCCCTGCCCCACCAGCTCTTGATGCTGTCCCCTTTTGCCCCCGCAGACCAGCGAAGCCAGCTGTTGGAGCTGCCCCTCCATAGAGAGCCCTGCACCTCTTTCGGGTAGGACGGTCAAAACATGCACACAGCAGATCCAAACCTCAGAGGGCCCCCAGTCTGGGCAGGGGGTCTGTAAGATGCCACGGGTGACCAAAAGGGTGTCTGGGGGAGGAGGGCTCGCTCCAGGAGCAGCCGTGGTGGTGTGGGGACCCCAGGGGTCGGAGGGGGGAGTTCCGCCAGCAGGGGTCTGCTGCCCGTCTGCCCAGGAGAGGAACTGGACCTGCGGCTCATTCGGACCAAAGGGGGCGTGGACATGGCGCTGGATTATGCCAAGACCTGGAGCCGCTACGCCAAGGAGCTGCTGGCCTGGACCGAGAAGAGGGCCAACTACGGTGAGGACCCCTTGCAGCCCAGCCCCGGCGCCCCTGGCACCGACCCGGAGACTGTAGCCGGACCCAGAGCCCTGCCATGTCTCCCCCCACCCCCGCCCCCACAGAGCTGGAATTTGCCAGAAGTGTCATGAAGATCGCCGAGGCTGGCAAGGTGTCCATCCACCAGCAGGTAGCCGCGACCTGGCCTCCCCCACAGGCCACCAGCCCCCACCTCCCCCAACCCCAGCCCCGCCCCCCGCCATGCTCAGAGTCCACCCCCTCCACCCCCGCCAGAGCCATATGCCGCTGCAGTATATCTACACACTCTTCCTGGAGCATGACCTTAGCCTGGGAGCCCTGGCCGTGGAGACGGTGGCCCAGCAGAGACGAGACTACTGCCAGGTGAGGGCGGGCAGGATGGCGAGGGGGGCGGCCCGCTGTGCCCCGGGGGATGCCCCGGAGGGAGGCGGTGCTGCCGTCATCAGTCATGACCCTTCAGCTGAGGAGGAAGCCGAGAGCCGCCCAGCGCGGCTCAGGAACTTGCCCAAGGCGGCCTTGCAGATTCCAGTCCGGCTTCCTGCGCGGTTGCAACATGGCGCGGCGTCTGTTTGTGACGAGGGGCTCTGTGTCCCCAGGAAGGGCCTCGGTGGCTCTGGGTCCAGGCAGAAGGGAGCTGATGGCCGCTGAGACTCTGCCTGCGGACATGGTGGTGGTGGTGGCAGCGGGGGGTGGGGGCCGGCAGGGCTAGGTGAGAAGATACCCCCCCTTCCTGTACAACCAACCCCTACTCCCCGCTGCCCAAAGAATTCGCACTCAGAAATGGGTCCAGGAGCAGGCATTTGGTGCAGTGGTTAAGGTGTGTGCATCCTGGAGCCAGCCTCGTGGTGTAGTGGGTAAAGCTGCTGCCCGGGGCATCTCCTATGGGCGCCGGTTCGAGTCCCGGCTGCTCCACTTCCAATCCAGCTCCCTGCCGTTGTGCCTGGGAAAGCAGTGGTAGATGGGCTGAGTGCTTGGGCCCCTGCACCTGCGGGGGAGACCTGGGTGAAGCTCCTGGCTTCGGCCTGGCCCAGCCTGGATGGTTGTGGCCATTTGGGGAGTGACCCAGCAGATGGAAGACCTCTCTCTCTCTCTTCCTCTCTCTGTGTAACTCTAATTTTCAAATAAATAAGTACATCTTTAGATACACGCATCCCATATGGGAGTGCTTGGGTATTAGTCCCGACTCCCTGGTTCCTCTGCCTTTTTTTTTTTTTTGGTAAGACTTGTTTATTTATTTGTAAGGCAGAGTATTAGAGAGAGGAGAGAGAAAGATACCTTCCATCTTTTGGTTCACTCTGCAAATGGCTCCAGCGGCCAGGGCTGGGCCAGGCTGAGGCCAGGAGCCTGGAGCTCCATCCAGGTCTCCCTCGTGGGTGGCAGGGTACTGCGCCCCACCCTGCCACCCAGGGACGCACCCAGATTGAGTTCCGGTCTCCTGGCTGTCGCAGGGGGCAATTGAGGAAAGAGAGAGGCAGAAAGGGGTGCAGTGAGCAGAAAGGACCCGGGGGGCGGGGGGGCCTGAGATGACGTCTGTCCACCTTCTCAAACCCATCCCCCACCTCTGCTAGCCCCTGGCCGCCAAGCGGACAGAGATTGAAAAGTGGCGCAAGGAGTTCAAGGAGCAGTGGATGAAAGAACAGAAGAGAATGGTGATGCCCTGAGCGGGCGGAGGGTGGGGAGGGGTCGGCGGGAGGAGAGGCGGGACGCTGAGCCCCCCCCCCCACCGCGCCCCTTGCCCTCCTAGAACGAGGCGGTGCAGGCGCTGCGGCGGGCCCAGCTACACTACTTCCAGCGCTGCGAGGACCTGCGGGCGCGCTGCCAGGGCTCCCCGGAAGACCCGGCCCCCCAGGCCTCGCCAGGCCCCAGCAAGCAGCAGGAGCGGCGTCGGCGATCGCGGGAGGAGGCCCAAGCCAAGGTGCGGGAGCTGGCGGCGGGTGTGCTCTGCCCGCGCCTCTGCGCTCTCCCACGGGCCACACCCCCACCCCCCTGCCTCGGTCTCCCCGCCCCAGGCGCAGGAAGCCGAGGCGCTGTACCAGGCCTGCGTGCGCGAAGCCAACGCGAGGCAGCAGGACCTAGAGGCGGCCAAGCAGCGGATCGTGTCGCACGTGCGCAAGCTGGTCTTGCAAGGCGACGAGGTTCTGCGGCGGGTGAGGCCCTCCCCGCGCCCCACCCTGTTTCCAGTCCCCAGGTCCCTTCCGGGCGGGGGTCCTGCCCGCAGGAGGAGCAGCGCCCTCTGAGCACGCCCAGGCCACGCCCCCATGCCCTGGCCACGCCTCCATCCCCCGAAGGGAGAGGCCCCGCCCCTCTCCCATCACTCTCGGTCTCCGCCCCGCAGGTGACCCTGGGCCTGTTCGGGCTGCGGGGGGCGCAGGCGGAGCGGGCCCCCCGCGCCTTTGCGGCGTTGGCCGAATGCTGCGAGCCCTTCGAGCCCGGCCAGCGCTACCAGGAGTACGTGCGGGCGCTGCGGCCCGAGGCCCCGCCAGCCCCGCCGCCTGCCTTCTGCTTCCAGGAGTTTGCGCCCCCTGCGCACAGGTGGGCCCCCGGGAATGATGGCGGGAAGGGGTCCCCGCGGCCGGCCCCAGGACGCCAGGCTGCAGCGGAATATAGCACTCGGGGCTATTGTTGGGGGAAGGGGGTGTCCCCCAGTTCTGGGAGGCTCAGGACTTTGGGGTTTCTGCAGACTGGGGGGCCAGCGCCCTGAGGCTCAGCCCTCCACATCGCTGCCCTCCCAGCTCCCCTCTGGACACCAGAAAGAAGCTCTCGGGGCCCCCACCTCCGAGGCTGGACGAGAGTTTGGCTGAGCCGGGTGCTTGGGAGGACCCAGGCGCAGGCAGGCAGGGTGAGTGCGGGGGTGGCCTGGAGGGTGGGCGTCAGGGCTGGGCACCATCCTTAATGACTTGTCCCCTCCTAGGGACCGCAGGCCCCGCTCCAGGCAGTGATGTGGACAGCGTGGGCGGTGGGAGCGAGTCCCGGTCCCTGGACTCCCCCACTTCCAGCCCAGGTGGGCCAGCTACTCTCTGACCCCCAGTCTCTCACCTGACCTTTGACTCCAACCTGCCCCACCCCCCTGATCCATTCTCTCGATGCCACTTCTGAACCACTCCCCGGAGTTGCCGATCCATCCTCCAACCCTTAACCTTTGACCTCTCTGACCCCCTCCTGACCTCTGACCCCAGGCACGCGGCGGCTGGTGAAGGTCTCGTCCACAGGCACCGAGTCCTCCGATGACTTTGAGGAGCGAGATCCCGGTGAGGCTGGAAGCAGGGGTAGGGGTGGGGGGGGGGCGGGAGGCGAGCAGGGGTAGGGGTGGGGGGGCGGGAGGCGGACCGAGTGCCCCTGACCCTGTCTCCCTGCAGACCTGGGAGAGGGGCTGGAGAACGGGCTGGGCAGGAAGTGGACGCTCTCCCTGGCGGCTCAGACCCACCGGCTGCGGCGGCTGCGGGGCCCGGCCAAGTGCCGCGAGTGTGACGCCTTCATGGTCAACGGGATCGAGTGCGAAGAGGTGTGGCCTGGGGCGGTGACCCAGGGAGCTCTGCTGGCCCTCCGTGACCCCCCCGTGACCCTGTGACCTTTCCCCCCAGTGCCTCCTGACCTGTCACAAGCGCTGCCTGGAGACCTTGCTGATCCTCTGTGGACACAGGAAGCTCCCAGCCCGGACGCCTCTCTTTGGAGTCGACTTCCTGCAGCTGCCCAGGGACTTCCCGGAGGAGGTGCCCTTCGTGGTCACCAAGTGCACGGCCGAGATCGAGCACCGCGCCCTGGGAGTGCAGGTGCAGCCTTGACCCTGACCATCCCCAGAAGTGACCCGCTGCCGTCGGTGGCCGGATCACGAGCGGGCCGGCCCTCTCTCGCCCTGACCCCGCAGGGCATCTACCGGGTCAGCGGGTCCCGGGTCCGGGTGGAGCGGCTGTGCCAGGCTTTTGAGAACGGGCGCGCGCTGGTGGAACTCTCCGGAAACTCGCCCCACGATGTCTCCAGTGTCCTCAAGCGATTTCTCCAGGAGGTGGGTGCTCTGGGGCTGGTGGTGGTGGTGGTGGGTGGTGGTGGTGGGGGATGGGAGCGGGGAGGGGGGCAGGGGCTTGGGGACTCAGGCTGAGGACCCTCCGCGGCCCACCCACACTCGTGTCCACCCCCACCCATTCCGCCCCCAGCTCACCGACCCCGTGGTCCCCTTCCATTTGTACGGCGCCTTCATCTCTCTGGCTAAGACCCTGCATGCAGACCCTGGGGCCGACCCTGGGGCCCCCAGCCCCCGCCCTGAGGTCGTCTACTTGCTGAAGACCCTCTTGGTACAGTTGCCTCACTCTAACTACAACACCCTACGGCACCTGGTGGCTCATCTGTTCAGGTGTGCACTGGGCCTGAGCCTCGAAAGTCGACAACGCCCTGACCCCTGACCTTTGACCTGCCCCCCCCCCGAGCCGCTGAAGCCTAATTCGTAACTCTGGGTGCTGACACCCGACCCTCCGTGCTGGGCCCGTGGCTGCTGGCGGTCTCCCACCCTGACCTGGTCAGGTGGCCACCGGGCTAGCCTGCGGGCCCTGTCCTTGCCCTCGGCCCGACGGCCTGGCACCCAGGCCCTGACTCCTCCCCTCACACCGTCCCCAGGGTGGCCGCACACTGTGAGGAGAACAGGATGTCTGCCAACAACCTGGGCATCGTGTTCGGGCCGACGCTGCTGCGGCCAGCGGAGGACCCGCGGACGGCCGGTGCCAGCCCCGCCACCTGCCTGCTGGACTCGGGGTACCAGGCCCAGCTCGTGGAGTTCCTCATCGTGCACTACGAGCAGATCTTCGGGATGGATGAGCTGCCCCTGGCCAGCGAGCCCTTGACCCAAGACCCCAGCCCGGCCCCGGGGCCCCTCGCCATCACCAGCCCCTGCCTCGCGCCAGCCTCGGGGCCAGGCCCGGAGCCGCATCCCCACGGATCCCTGGAGAAGCGTGGAGAGGACACGACCCCCGAGGTAGGAACCCACGGGGCCGCAGCGGGGGGCAGGGGCTTCTCCAGGTTGACTCATCTCTCCTGTCTTGCTGCTTTTCCCTGTAACGTTCTCCTTCCTCATTTAACCCACGCTCATTCTAAAAGGAAGAGTGAGGGGTGACGTAACGCAGGCACCAGCCATTTCTTCCAACAGGAAATTCACTAAGCACCCACTATGTGCCAGGCACTACTACTGTATGCCACGCACGAAGGCATAACCGGGACTCGAGGGAGCTCAGTGTTCAAAGTCACCGGCCTCTGGGTGCCTGCGTTCTGGTGGGAAAAAAAAAAAAAACATAATAAACAAATAAGAGTCAGTAGACAGCTCCCACCACAAACGCGCACAACAGCTGCGGCTGGGCCAGGCTGCGGCTGGGAGCTGCATTCAGGTTTCCCCCATGGATGGCACAGACCAAAGCACTTGAGCCACCACCACTGTGCCCTGGGGAGAGTGTGTTAGCGGGAAGCTGGCATCAGGAAACACAGCCAGGACTGGAACCAGGCTCTCAGACAGGATGCGCACTCACCACGCCGTGTCTTTTTAAAATCTTTTTAAAAAAGAGTTTATTTATTTGAGAGGTAGAGTTACAGAGAGAGAGAGGTCTTCCATCTGCTGGTTCACTCCCCAAATGGCCACCACAGCCAGAGCTGGACCAATCCAAAGCCAGGAGCCAGGAGCGTCTTCTGGGTCTCCCACGCGGGTGCAGGGGCCCAAGGACTTGGGGCATCTTTCACTGCTTTCCCAGGCCACAGCAGAGAGCTGGATGGGAAGTGGAGCAGCCAGGACTCGAACCGGCGCCCATATGGGATGCTGGTGCTGCAGGCAGAGACTAAGCCCACTACACTGCAATGTCAGCCCCACGCGGTGTCTTAATGGCTGTGCCCAGTGCCTACCCCGTGGATAAGTCTTACAGAACAGGTGGATTTGAGCAAAGACTGGACAGATGTGGGGAAGAAGCCATGTGGAGACCTGGGGAAGGCTGTTGCAGGCCAAGGGGACAGCCAGTGCAAAGGCCCAGAGGTAGAAGCATGCCTGGTGTGTTGAAGGCACAGCCCCACATTTCAGTGAATGAGGGGAGAGTGGCAGGAAGTGAGACCAAACAGGGACGGGCACAGGGGGCCCTGCTCACCACTGTGGATTGTGTACCTACTATGCGCAGGGTGCAGGCCAGCACTGAGCACCCACTCTGCACAAAGCCTGGGCTCCCAGTGAATGCACACCCACTACACACGGGGTGCTGCTACACGAGGGTATTCACGCGAAATTACAAAACAAGTTTTCAGGCAGGCATTTGGTCAAGCCTCCCACATCCCACTGTACCTCCCTTCAACACCCTGCTTCAGCTCCTCATTTTTTTTTTTTTTAAGATTTTATTTATTTGAGAGGTAGAGTTGCAGACAACGAGAGGGGGAGACAGAGAGAGAGGTCTTCCATCGTTGGTTCACCCCCCAAATGGCCGCAATGGCTGGAGCTGAGCTGATCAGGAGCTAGGAGCTTCCTCCAGGTCTCCCATGTGGGTGCAGGGGCCCAGGCACTTGGGCCATCCTCCACTGCTTTCCCAGGCCACAGCAGAGAGCTGGACTGGAAGTGGAGCGGCCGGGGGAGTCTAACCGGTGTCCCAGGCGGCGGGACCTGCGCCACAGCGCCGGTCCCCAAGCTGTACATTTTTAAGGGCATCATTTAGGGCGGAACTTTTGCAGACCCAGGAACAAGCCCTCGGCTTCCTTCTCAAGGGCTGGGATTTTCAGGGTTGGGGTCTCATTCCTGGACTTGTCCCCGCAGAGCCCAGCTCCACCGAGTGATCAGAGGGAGGAAGTGGCGGAAGACACCAAAGACGAGGCCGAGGAAGGTGAGCGGGTGGGGGGAGCGGCTCGGGAATCCTGGGGGTCGCATGCAGAGACCTGGGGATGCTCAGCACTGGCCACCCCTCCCCACAGAGACCAGCCAAGGCCCCGAAGACTCGTTCCTGGGGACACAGTCCCGGGGCCACTTCAGCCGCCAGCCCGTAAAGTACCCCCGGGGGGGCGTGCGGCCTGTCACCCACCAGCTGTCCAGCTTGGCGCTGGTGGCTTCCAAGCTGTGCGAAGAGACCCCCGTGGCCTCCGTGAACCCAGGGAGTTTGCGGAGGCGGGGGCCCAGCCCCCTGTGCCGCACCCCGCTGCCCAAACATTTTGAGATCACCCAAGAGACCGCCCGGCTACTCTCCAAGCTGGACAGCGAGGCTGTGCCCAGGACCGCCGGCAGCGCCGACCCCCAGCCAGAGGAAGATGAGGAGCATCTCTGACCACCCCTGGACCCTCTGCGGGGGGGCTTGGGACTGTGAAGATGGACCCATGTCTCGCGTGCCTGACCGCCCCCCCCAGCACACACCTGGGGCCAGAGCTCCACTTGGGGGGGGTTCCTATAAAGACTGCGTGGCCTGGGGGAGGCCCAGAACCTTCCCAACACACACAGGTCATGGCCAAAGCCTCAGGGCCGCTCCAGGTCACGGTCAGTATCCAGGGTCCACCCCGGACTCTGACCCTTTGGGTGCCTTTTGCTGCTTGGTGTGGGCACTGCCCCACCGCCGCCTGCCTACTTCACCGAGCCAAGCCACCCACCAGTTCTTGGTGGGGGGGCAGCCAGACCCCACAGCCCCCTGGGTGCCCGGGATCTGGTGGTTTCTGAATAAATGTCGCCCTGTGTACACCGCGTGTGGCTGCCGAGGAGGGTGCTGGGGAGAGGCCGGCCAGGGCAAGCCCCCTTTGCCCCCGAGTGAGCCGAGGGCCCCCCTTTTCCTCCTCATGCCCACACACCCTTGACCCACCTGTAGGCAGAAGGGGCCTGGGCACGCGGCTGAGTCACAGCTACGCGTCCCCAAACCGGTCCTGTGTAATCAAACAAACACGACCAAGTACAGATAACCGGGACAATAGGGCCTCGTGTTGCACTCCGTGGGAGTCCGGGGCCGCCGCAGGGAGGCTGGGGGAGGAAGCTGCAGGCCGGGGCTATGCAGGGGGCAGCGCTGTCCCAAGGCGGAGAGCGCCGGAGGGCGGGGGCGGGGGTCTGCGGGGTGGGAGACCTGCGCTGGGGAAGCCCTGGCTGGGCGGGGGTCGCGGCAGTGGGAGCCGAGTCGGATCAGGGCGTGGCTTGCAGCTCGGCGGCCGATTGGACGCCAGGGAGAGGGCGGGGAAAGGGGGGGTTCTGGGGCGGGGGGCGCGGCCTGGAGACCACCCGGGGCTGCGCCCGGGCCGCGCGTGGTCCCGGCGGGCTTTCTCCGTCGCTGGGAGAGTCAGTCTCCAAAGTGCGGCCGCGTTCAAGGTGTGCGGGGGCCGGGGTGAGGGTCCCGCGCCGGAAATGGAGGGGGGCGACCGGGGTAGGCGGGGAGGAAATGAGGGGGCTGCGGTTCCGGGCGACCCAGCTTGGGTTGCAGGCGGGCGAGGCCGGGTTCCCTCCAGGTGGCGGGGCGGGGCGGGGCGGGGCTCCCCCAGGTGGCGGGGGCGGGGCTCCGGCCAAGGGGCGGGGCCTCCGGGCGACCCCGCCTCCCGCGCGCCCTCCGCAGCCGGACGCGCCTTCGTTCCCGCCGTGGTCGCGGGGCCATGGACTCCGGGCCCACCCCAGCCCCCGACCAGCGCGCCCCGTCTGCAGCCTGACGCGCTGCCCAGGTGAGGCCCGCACCGACGCGGGACCGGGGAGCGCGGACCCCGGGGAGGGCGCGGCACATGTCTGCGGGGCCTGGGCGCCGCCCCCTCTCCCTTCCCTCCCCACCCCCAGCCTAGGGGCTCCGGGCGGCTTCGCCCAGCGCCTTCTCCCCGAGCGCCCTCTTTGTCCCGGCGGCCTCCAGGGTCCTCCGTCCCACCCGGAACGGCCCGATGCCCCGCCCGCTTCGGGAGCTCTGGCACCTAAATCCTGCCGGCCCGAGGACTGCAGGGACCGCCTAGCCGCCGCCTCCCAAAGGAACCGCTCAGCTCCCGCAGGGTCCCGGCGAGGGACTTCACTTTGCGCGCGCGCGCGCGTGCGCGTGCATGCACGCACACACACACGCGTTTCCTGGTTTCTCCTCCCCGCACTTGACCCGGGCACCTCATCTGCTCACGCAGCTCACGCCCCTTTGCCCTGTTCTCTCCCTTCCCCTAGCTCCCCTCTACCCGGCCCACCCCCACCCCCCGGGGCCCGGCCGGCACTGGACTGCGGATGCGTTTTGTCTGCCTTCCTCCTCCTCTCCAGGCTGCTGCTGGCTCCTTGTGTGTTTCCAAGGAGCTTCACTTGCACTGACCCCCGACTCTGTGCCCCCCCCCCCAGGTGGCCACCATGGGCCAGTGCTATTACAACGAGACTGTGGGCTTTTTCTACAATAACAGCGGCAAAGAGCTGAGCTCCCACTGGCGGCCCAAGGACGTGTTGGTGGTGGCGCTGGGACTGACGGTGAGCGTGCTGGTGCTGCTGACCAACTTGCTGGTCATCGCGGCCATTGCCTCCAACCGCCGCTTCCACCAGCCCATTTACTACCTGCTGGGGAACCTGGCGGCCGCCGACCTCTTCGCCGGCGTGGCCTACCTCTTCCTCATGTTCCACACGGGGCCGCGCACAGCCCGGCTGTCCCTCGAGGGCTGGTTCGTGCGGCAGGGCCTCCTGGACACGAGCCTGACGGCCTCGGTGGCCACGCTGCTGGCCATCGCCGTGGAGCGTCACCGCAGCGTGATGGCCGTGCAGCTGCACAGCCGTCTGCCGCGCGGCCGCGTGATCATGCTCATTGTGAGCGTGTGGCTGGCCGCGCTGGGGCTGGGGCTGCTGCCCGCCCACTCGTGGCACTGCCTCTGCGCCCTGGACCGCTGCTCTCGCATGGCCCCCCTGCTCAGCCGCTCCTACCTGGCCGTCTGGGCCCTGTCTAGCCTGCTGGTTTTCCTGCTCATGGTGGCCGTCTACATCCACATTTTCTTCTACGTCCGGCGGAGGGTGCAGCGTATGTCGGAGCATGTCAGCTGTCACCCCCGCTACCAAGAGACCACGCTGAGCCTGGTCAAGACGGTGGTCATCATCCTAGGTGAGTGAGGGCCTCTGCCTTCTGACCCCACGACACCCAGAGACCGTGAACTACACCTGATAAGGGCCGGGCGTGGGCGGTGATCCCTGGCGAGCTGTTATCTCGGCACAGACTTGAATGCTCCAGGGGGAGGAAAAGAATTCCAGGCAGACGGAACAGAAGGTGGAAAGCCTCAAGGCAGGAGTAGCCCAGAGTCTGGGAAGAAAGCAGCCTTCAAGGTTGGCTGGGGGGGGGGGGGGGGCAGATTGGCCAGCCTCGGAGGTCAAAGGTCGGGGACTAGAGTCGCGTTTTGTTCTGAGTTCTATCAGAAGTCCTTAAAAAGCTTTGGTTTTGCATCTTAAAAAAAAAAAAAGTATTTATTTGAAAGAGTTACAGAGAGGTGGGGAGAGATGGCTGCAATGGTCAGGGCTGGGCCAGGCAGAAGCCAGGAACCAGGAGCTTCTTGCGGGTCTCCCGGGTGGGTGCAGGGGCCCAAGCGCTTGGGGCCGTCCTCCGCTGCTTTCCGGGGCCATTAGCAGTGAGCCGGGTCGGAAGTGGAGCAGCTGGGACTTGAACCATCGCCCAGATGGGATGCTGGCATCGCAGCTGATGGCTTTACCTGCTATCCCACAATGCCGACTCCAACTTTTTTTTTTCCTTTTTAAGTTATTTATAGGGCTGCTGCTGGCTGGCTCCGTGGCTCACTAGGCTAATCCTCCACCTGCAGCTCCAGCACCCCAGGTTCTAGTCCCGGTTGGGGCGCCGGACTCTGCTGAGGCCCGGGAGTGCAATGGAGGATGGCCCAAGTGGTTGGGCCCTGCACTCACATGGGAGACCAGGAGGAAGCACCTGGCTCCTGGCTTTGGACCGGCCCAGCTCTGGCTGTTTCAGTCATTTGGGGAGTGAACCAGTGGATGGAGGACCTCTCTCTCCATCTCTCCCTCCCTCTCTCTGTAACTCTGCCTTTCAAGTAAATCAATCTTATTTTTTTTTTTTAAGAGTTATTTATTTGAAAAGCCTAGTGCCAAAGAAAGAAGGAGAGAGGTCTTCCATCCACTGGTTCACTCCCCAAATGACCACAACAGCTGGGGCTGTGCCAGGAGCCAGGGATTCCATTGTATCTCCTACATGGATGGTAGAGGCCCAGGTATGTGGGCCGTCACCTGTCTGCGTTTCCAGGCACATGGGCAGGAAGCTGGATTGGAAGCAGAGCAGCCGGTCTCAAACCAGCACTCTGATATGGGATGCTGGTGTCGCCAGCCGTGGCTTAACCTGGGATGGATGCCATAATGCTGGTCCCCTTAAGGAGTGCTTAGCGTGGAGTCACGTGGTCACACTGGCTGTTGGTGTAAAATGGTCTGGGCGGGGCAGGTAGCCAGGATCCACCCCCGTAGCCATGAGGACACACTCCACTTCCTCCAGAGTCAGGCTTGATTCTACTCACCGTGCCCTGTCCATTGCTGAACGACCTGCCTGCCCCACAGTGCCGTCATGTCCCTCATTGAAACACCCAGGGCCTTTGCCATCTTCCGGTTAAGAAAGGTGTCCTGCACTGGTGGTGTGGCATAGCGGGTTAAGCCACCTGCAACACCGGCATCCCGTATGAGCACCAGTTCGAATCCCAGCTGCTCTGCTTCCAATCTGGCTCCCTGCTTTGTGCCTGAGAAAGCAATGACGATGACCCAAGATGCTTCACTCCCCAAATGGCCGCAACGGCTGGAGCTGCGCCAATCCAGAGCCGGGAGCCAGGAGCTTCCTCTGGGTCTCCCATGCGGGTGCAGGGACCCAAGGACTTGGGCCATCCTATACTGCTTTCCCAGGCCACAGCAGAGAGCTGGATTGGAAGTGGAGCACCCGGGACTCGAACCAGCGCCCATATGGGATGCCGGCACTGCAGGCAAAACCAGCCTACAAGCTGTCTTGTCCTACGTCCTGCATGGTTACCTCCCCCCCCCCCCCCCCCATGCTCGGGAGACCCCTCCGACCCTGAGCTGAGCTCTGGGTGCCAGGTCTCATCCCGCTCACTCAGGCCTCCGTCTCCCAGGGGCCTTCGTGATCTGCTGGACTCCAGGCCAGGTGGTGCTGCTTCTAGATGGTCTGGACTGCAAGTCGTGCAACGTGCTGGCCGTGGAGAAGTACTTCCTGCTCTTGGCCGAGGCCAACTCACTGGTCAATGCTGCCGTGTACTCGTGCCGCGACGCCGAGATGCGCCGCACCTTCCGCCGCCTCCTCTGCTGTGTGTGCCTCCGCCGGGCCAGCCGGGAGTCCACCGGCCACTATGCCTCGTCCCCTAGGACAGGTGCCAGCACGCGCATCATGCTGCCCGAGAACGGCCACTCCCTGATGGACTCGACCCTCTAGCCGTCTTGAACTTGAATGGGATGCAGCACGTGTTGGACCACCAGCCCCGGACCACTCTTGGATATGACTGGCTCAGCCGTGTCAGAGGGGGCACGCCTGCGGGCAAGGCTCGGCAGGTGCACAGCTCTACCTGCGTGAGGGCCGGGGTTAGGGGTCATCTCCAAGTTCCCGGAAGACTGTTGGACGGAGTGTGGGAATCTCACTCTCCAGTCATCTCAGGTTTGGGTTTTTTAACGGACATTTTTGTATTTGTACTGCACACCCCTGGTGAGCCCTGTGGATTGGTTTCTCCTCTCTGGCGGGTGGGAGATGAGAGCCGAGGCCATGCGACGCAGTGTGGCGGGTTGACAAGGACAGACCACGGACGTACGTCTTCCTGATTCTTCCAGAATGTTCAAGATCACCTGTGCTGATGCCTTAGCGACACTGGACTAAAAGGGCTGCTGAGGGTGAGCGGGGAAAGGTTCCCTCGCAGCCTCCGGGGGGCTGGCCTGTGCTCGTTAGAACGGAGGGGCCGGTAGAGAGAGAGAGAGAGAGAACACACTTTGTGGAGTAAACCTTTCTATCCTCTCTGAGGTCTCCAAAGCATTTATTTATTTATTTATTTAGGTCATGGTTTAGACAGTCTGTCATCAGCTGATTCACTCACCAAGAGCCATAGGTAGGCCAGGCCAAAGCGAGGAGCCAGGAACTCCATCCGGGTCTCCCATGTGGCTGGCAAGGACCTCCCCCGCCGCCATACTTGGGCCATCACCTTCTTTCTCCCAGGGGCATTAACATTGGAAGCAGAGGAGCCGGGACTCGAACCAGCGCTCCCATATGGGAAGTCCCAAGTGGCAGTTTCACCTGCTGCACCATGAACCTGCCCTTCTGCCTCTGGTTTTTTTTTTGTTTGTTTGTTTTGTTTTTTTTGTCTTCTCTTGTGTTTTTCTGCCTGCATCTCACTTGCTGCCTGTCTGTCTCGCTCCTCTAGAGCCCAGGTGGTCTCTGGGCTGTAGGAGCCTCCTCACTCCTATCTGCCCTTTGGTCAAGGTCGAGATCATTCAAGATTACACAGGTGGTCCTGTCCAGGCAGCAGAGGGGGAGGTTGTTTGTTTGTTTGCTTGCTTTTTTAATTTATTTGAGAGGCAGAGTTACAGAGAGAGAGAGAGTCTTCCATCTGGTGGTTCACTCCCCAAATGGCTACAGTGGTAGGAGTTCAGCTGATCCGAAGCCAGGAGCCAGGAGCTTCTTCCAGGTCTCCCAAGTAGGAAACGAATCCGCTAGGTGACTTCAGGATTTTAGTTCTAGAAATTGCAGAGCCTGCCTCCCTCCAGTTCTCTCACAGACCGTACTTAGCAGGCTTCCTGTGCGGTGCTGACCTTGTCACATGGGGCACGGCTCTCCGTGGCCCCCACATGTTCGATTACTTCCTGTTACTGTGGCCAAGCATCCGGTTGCCTTCGGTGGGGCACCATCCCTGTGGCTCTGACACACGGGGTGTGTGTGGTGTGTGTGGTGTGTGTGCACTTGTGGCTCTCCCTTCCATTCCCGGCCATGAGCCCTGCCCTGAAGAAGATACTTGGGGGATGGGCATCCATTACTGAGCTCACATCTGCAGGTGCATGACGCTGGCGAAGGATCAAATCCAGTCTCCCCTTACATGGGGGTCCTTGCGTGGCGCCACCCTGAGTCCCAAAGGCCCCGAACGCGGACCTGTGTGGCTCGTTCCCTAGTGGGGTGCACTCAGTGGGCGGCCTGCATTCATTCCTTAACCACGTGGCTCGATGGATACTCAAGGTCATTGTCAACCGGATATTGAAAGGGGTGGGATTTTTTTTTTTTTTTAGTGTTGACATTGGACGCACCTGGGACCCTCAGCTGGGTGAGGTGCCCTGTGGGGCTGGGGAGGGGTCACGGGTTCTGGAAGTGAGTGGGGGGGCTGCTGAGGACTTGGCTTAGAGGAGATGTGGGGGCCCCTGAGGAGGAGCCAGGGCTCTGAGGTGCCAAAGAGGCAGGATCTGAGGAGTCCGCGTGGGTGCGGGGCTCAGGAAGCCGAGCAGGCGTCGCCCTCTCGGGTGGGAGGAGGTGGGCGGTGCCGTTGCCGGGGCAACCCTCGCGGAGTCCTGGGCCGTTGAGGCAGGCTGCTCGGGGCGTGTCCCGGGGGTCGGTGCGCGGTGCTGGTTGGTTAGCGGCGGCGGTGGGGGCGTGCCGGTGAGCGTTGCGCAGCGGCGATTGGCTGGCGGCGGCGGCGGGGGGCGGGACACAGCCACGCGCTGCGGCGGTTGCCCGTGGCGCCCGCGAGCCAGCGCTGCAAGCCCGCCGGCTTCTCCTCAGCGGCCGCCGGCTCCCGCTACCCATGGACGCCCCGCCGCGCCCCGCGCCTCCGCCGCTGCCCCCGGGCCCGCGCCCGGACACGAGCGGCGTCCTGCAGCAGATCATGGCCATCACCTACCAGAGCCTGGACGAGGCACAGGCCAGGTGCTGGCCCGGGACGTTTGTGGGGGGCCACGCCGGGGGGCGGGGCGGGGTCGCAGGCCGATGTCGGGGCGCGGGGGCCTTGAGGAGGCCTGGAGGAGGGGGTTCACGGTGAGACAGGGAGAGATGGATCGTCCATCCGCTGGGTCATTCCCCAAATGGCCGCAACCGCCAGGGCTGGGCCAGGCGGAAGCCAGGAGCTCCATCCGGGGCTTCCACTGGGGTGGCGGGGGTCCAAGGACTTGGGTCATTGTCAGTTGCTTCCCAGGAGCATTAGCAGGGAGCTGGATTGGAAGTGGAGCCGCCGAGACAGGGGGAGAGAGGAGAGGGAGAGAGAGGGCAAGGTGGTGGGGTAGTGGGGGGTGGGGAGATCAGTCCTCCATCTGCTGGTTCACACCCCCCCACCCACCCAGTGCCTGCAATCGCCGCGAGCCAGAAACGCTATCCAGATCTCCCACGCGGGGGGCAGGGACCCGAGTGTTCAGACCATCATCCGCTGCCCCCAGGTGCATCAGCGGGAAGCTGGATTGGACAGTGCAGTAGAGTCTTGACCCAGGCCCTCTGCTGTGGCAGCCGGCAGCCCACGTGGTGACTTAGACGTCCGTGAGGATGTCCACCCCAGGGGTTTAATTCTTAAGGGTGGGGAGCGTGTCTTCTGGTTTGAAACTTTATGTACATACATATAACATTACATTACATTTGAGAGACAGAAGTAGAGAGCTTCCATCAGCCAGTTCTCTCCCCAAATGCTCACAAAGACTGAGGCTGGGTCGGGCTGGAGCCAGGAGCCCAATCCAGGTCTCCCACGTGGGTAGCAGGGGCCCGACTCCCTTAGCCATCACCTGCTGTCCCTTGCAACACGCGTTAGCAGGAACTGGGAGTCGGGAGCCAGGGCTGGGACTTGAATCCAGACACTGCAATATGGGAGGCGGGCATGTTAGCCACTAGGCCAAATGCCTGCCCCCAGAAGTTGTATTAATAAGGTGTAGCCGGGGCCAGTGCTGTGGCGTAGTAAGTTAAGCATCTGCCTGTGGCACAGGCTTCCCCTGTGGGTGTTGGTTCGAGTCCTGGCTGCTCCACTTCTGATCCAGCTCCCTACTAATGGTCTGCAAAAATGGCAGAAGACGGCCCAAGTGCTTGGGCCCCTGCACCTGTGTAGGAGACCCAGCAGAAGCCCCTGGCTCCTGGCTTCGGAACGGCCCAGCCCGCCATTGCGGCCATTTGGGGAGTGAACCAGCGGATGGAAGACCTCTCTGTCTCTCCATACCTCTGTCTGTAACTCTGCCTCTCAAGTAAATAAATAAATCTTAAAAAGAAGACGATGTGGCGAGGTGACAGACACAGCGACTGCCTTGACAGGATAGTTTGTCACAGCTCCCGGGGAGGGGGCCACCTGGTTGGTGAGGAGGCAGTGGGGGGGTGCCGGGCAGGCCTGCCCCCGGGCTTGTGGGAAGAAGCTTGAGCCCCGGGGGAGTCAAGTGACTGCACAGGCTCAGGGCTGCGGGGCTGGCCCCTGGGGTGGTACAGGGCGGTGGGGTAGGGGGGCACCAGGTAGGGGAGGTGGGTGGGCCTGGGCTCTGGGTGCGGGCTTTGGTTTACCTGGAGAAAACACGGTCACCGGCAGGTTGTTCACCGTCTCTCTCGAAACTCACTAGCCCCGGGATGTGAACACGTCAACGCACGATGAGGTCACACCCCCTTGGGGCACCTGCTGGGTTTCTCTGCCCTCCTGGGCAGGACATCAAAGAGCTGTGGCTGCCGCTGGCACTTCCTGTCCACCTCCGCCTTCTCTCCCTCCCTCCCGCCCCTGAGTCCCCTGTGACTTCCGGGTTGCCAACGCCAGGTCACCTCTGGATTCTTCGCCTGCCTGGCCTCTCAGCCTCCCTCCTAAAACTGTTCTCACCGGCATCTTGGTCCCAGCCTCCGTTGCAGGCTCTCCCTGCTGCTGGCCTCTCTAAGTCCCTGTTCCTGGCCTGGGGCCTGAGCCCTTCTCCATCTGTGTTCTCGGCCCTGCCAGTGCCGCCCGCCTGTGTGTTGGGTGTCAGCTGCAACTCTGACGCCTCGTCTTGCCTAGGTCAAGGTGTCTCACCTGTCCCTTGATCCAGGCTCAACTCTGCTCCCTCCTGTGGTTAACGGGGCCACCACCCACAGCCCATGTTGCAGTGCCTGGGTTCAAGTCCAGCTTCCTGCCTCCCGGGAGGCAGCAGTGGTGGCGTTGGTACTCAGGCCCCTGCACCTGCGTGGGAGCCCCGGATGAGCTCCTGGCTCCTGGCTTCAGCCTGGCCCAGCCCCAGCTGTTGTGGGCCTCTGGGGAGAGAACCAGCAGGTGGACAGTCAGTCTCTTTCTCAATCTCCTCCCCTGTCTGTGTCACTCTGACCTTCCAATAAATGATCAATAAACACTTGAAAGCAGTGAAGTTCACTTAAGGATAGGCAGGAGACCCGGGAGCCCACACGTCTATGGCCAGTTGATTCTCAGCGAGGTTCAGAGACCTGCAATAGGGAAAGAACAGTCTCTCCTTCCACACGCGGTATGGGATACCTGGACCTCCACGTGCATTAGAATGGGCTTGAACCCTTACCTCACGCCATATATAAAACTCAAACAGGCCAAATACCTAAGTGTAAGAGCTAAATCTTTAAAACTCTTAGAAGGAAAAAAACATGTTTCTTAAAGGCAGGAATTACAGAGAGAGAGAGAGAGATCTTCCATCTGCTGGTTCACTCCCCAAATGGCTGCAACGGTCAGGGCTGGGCCAGGCCAAAGCCAGGAGCCAGGAGTTTCATCCGGGTCTCCCACGTGGGTACAGGAGCCAAAGCACTTGGGCCATCTTCTGCTGCTTTCCTGGGCACGTTAGCAAGGAGCTGAATTAGAAGTGGAGTAGCCAATTGCCAAGGTTCTGGCCTAGCAGGTTGAGCCTCCGCCTCTGATGTGGGCATCCTGTCTGGGCACCGGTTCGAGACCTGGCTGCTCCACTTTCGATCCAGCTCCCTGCTAATGCTCCTGGGAAGGCAGCGGTCGTGGCCCAAATGCTTAGGGCCCTGCACCCATGTAGGAGACCCAGAAGAAGCTCCAGGCTCCTACCTTTAGCCTGGCCCAGTCCCGGCTGTTGGAGCCATTTGGGAAGTGAACCAGCAGATGGAAGCTTGCACTCGCTCTCTCTCTCTCTCTCTCTCTCTGTCTCTGTCTCTGTCTCTTCTCTAACTCTTCCTTTCAAATAAATAAAAAATAAATCTTAAACAGAAAAAAAGAAGTGGAGCAGCTGGGTCTCCACCTGGCACCCATATGGGTTGCTGGCATCACAGGTGGTTAAGCCACTGTGCCACAGCCCCGGTCCCAGAAAACAGTCTTGAAATGCCCACAACAGGCTGAAGCCAGGAGCCAGAAACCCCCTCTGGGTCTCCCCTGAGGATGGCTCGTCCCCTGCTGCCTCCCAGGGTGGACTTTGGGAGGAAGCTGGATCAGAAGTGGGGTTGGGGCCTGAACTCGGCCATCGTGCTGTGGGTGGTGAATTATCTCGCTGCGCCCTAGTGCCCCGCCCCGGGATACGTTCAAGCCATCTGTAGGTGATAGGTGATGCCTAATAGAGAGGCAGCGCTGTGTACACAGTTGCTATATGGAACCGTGCAGAGTGAAGACAAGGTAACCTGTTCTGCGCATGTTCGGTGCGGACGCCGTTTGCTTGGGAATGATTTTCGGTCTGAGGGCGCTGGCACCCGAGGGCGCCGCCTGCCCGGTGCACTGTTCACGTCGCGCGAGTCCGCTTCCCCTGGGACGCTGTGATGGCGCGTGCTCACAGCCGGCCCAGCGGGCTCGGTCTCTCCCGGTGGGGCGTGTGCGCCCTCGCGGCCCACCCGCCTCCCGCTCCTCACCCGCCGCTCTCGCCCCTTCCAGCAAGCACGCCCTGCACTGCCATCGGATGCAGCCGGCTCTCTTCAGCGTGCTCTGCGAGATCAAGGAAAAGGCAGGTAGGCCGCCTAGAAGACACTTCCGGGGTCCTCCCCAGGCCCCGGCCGCCACTCGTCCTCGCGGGCGATTCTGGCGCCGGGTGAGCGGGAGGCCGGGTTGGTGCCTGGACAGCATCCCGGCTTCTGTTCCGTCTGCTCGCTGACCTCCCCGTTTATGACTGGAGAAATCCAGGAAAGACAGCAAACGCCCCCACGCACCTGCCTGCTGCCTGCGAGGCCGGCGAGGCGCCGCGGCGCTCAGTCACGCAGATAGAAGAAAGAGGCCCGGATTAGCAAAGCAGAGTGAGGACAGTCTTATTTAAAAAAGATTTAGTTATTTGAAAGGCAAAGAAAGGTCTTGCAGCCACTGGTTCCTTCTCCGAATTCCACTTCAGCCAGGGCTGGGCCGGCCGGAAGCCGGGAGCTCCATCCGGGTCTCCCACGGCGGTGGCAGGGGCCCCAGCACTCGGGCCACCTTCCGCTGCTTTCCCAGGCACGTTAGCGGGGAGCTGCATCAGAAGCGGAGCTGGCACTCTGACTTGGGACGCCGGTGTCCCCTGGTGGCGGCCCCTGGCTTGGACACATTGGGCGAGAAGTGCTCCGTGCGTGGCCTTGGAACTGCCCCTCCCTCGGTCCAGTTTGTCTGCGGTTCCTGGTGGCTAGCCTGAAGCTGTGGGTCCAGGACAGGAATGGCGCAGGAGACAAGTCCTCGCTGTGTCGAGCTGGGGGTGGGGGTGGGGGTGGGGGTGGAGTGCAGGTCGCAGGCCCCATCGCTGTGGTGTCCGCCCCGATCACGTGGTCAAGGCTGATGAGAAGTTGAAGACAGATTACAAGAGCAGCCACCCCATGAAGGTCATTCATTGGCAGAAGGGCGACCACTGGATTTCTGGGAGTGAGTGGGTCGGCTGAGTCACTGATGGGAGTTCTGTAGTCGCCAGGGAGCGTGGTGTGCGGGACGCGCTGTGTCTGTGAGAGCTGGCACCGCACGGGCACCGGGAGAGCGGTGTGCGGGACGGGCCGTGTCTGTGAGAGCTGGCACCGCACGGGCACCGGGAGAGTGGTGTGCGGGACGCGCTGTGTCTGTGAGGGCTGGCACCGCACGGGCACCGGGAGAGCGGTGTGCGGGACGCGCTGTGTCTGTGAGGGCTGGCACCGCACGGGGGCCGGGAGAGCGGTGTGCGGGACGCGCCGTGTCTGTGAGGGCTGGCACCGCACGGGGGCCGGGAGAGCGGTGTGCGGGACGCGCTGTGTCTGTGAGGGCTGGCACTGCACAATGTCCGGGAGAGCGGTGTGCGGGACGCGCTGTGTCTGTGAGAGCCGGCACCGCACGGGGACCGGGAGAGCGGTGTGCTGGACGCGCTGCGTCTGTCAGAGCGCTGCTGGGGCGGGGGACTGGCATGGACGTGACAGTACGTGGCCTGAGCGCCAGTGGGTTCTGCGTGACCTTGTCGTGTGACTGACCTCTCTGTCCTCGGTCCTCCTCTGTGATCTGGGGACAGTGCTAGTACTTAGGGTGGCTGAGGCCCGTGGAAACTGAGTTCACATAAGGCTGCGGTAAGATGCCCCGCCTCTGGGAGAAATTCCACCGTAAACCTGCATTCACATCTCCCCTAATCACTAAAAGGACATGTTTTTGTTTTTTAACCCCCTCTGTTACAATTGTAGTGCAAATAAACATAGCATACACTTTACTACCGTAACCAGTAAAATATGTTTTTTAAAAATTTCATTTATTTATTAGAGAGGCAGAGTTATAGGCAGAGAGAAACGTCTTCCATGCCCTGGTTCACTCCCCAAATGCTGCAGCAGCCGGAGCCGATCTGATCTGAAGCCAGAAGCCAGGAGCTTCTCCCAGGTCTCCCGCGCAGGTGCAGGGCCCCAAGCACTCGGGCCATCTTCTCCCGCTTTCCCAGGCCACAGCAGAGAGCTGGATTGGAAGCGGAGCAGCCAGGACACAAACTGGCAGCCATATGGGATGCCCGCACCACGGGCAGAGGCTTAGCCTACCATGCCACAGTGCTGGCCCCCATTAAATTATTGTAAAATTTTATTTATTTATTTTTTATTTGAAAGGCAGAGAGAGAGAATAAGAGGGAGGAGAGAGAGGTCCTGTCTCCTGGTTCACCCGCCATCTGCCTGCATCCACCAGGCCACAGCTGGGAGCCCAGATCTCAATCCAGGTCTCCTCCATGGGTGGTGGGGACCCAAGGACTTGGGCCATCACCTGCTGCCTCCCAGGGAGCTGGGATCAGAGTGGAGCTGGGTCTTGAACGCAGACGCTCGGATATGGGGTGTCGATGTGCCAGATGGCGGCTACCCATTGAGCCGAACGCCCGCCCGGCCCTACGCCCAGATTTCTGACCGTGTAGGTAGGAGGCAGCGTCCCTGAGCCCCACCTTGTTTGAGGGTCCACCGTGAGAAGTTCCTTCCGGTATCTGTTTCTAGAGGACCGTAGAGCCAGCCCCGTGTTCTCTCTCCCAGACTTTATCCCTTTCCCTGCGGGCGGGGCCCCTGTGCAGCTCTTTGCATCGGCTCCCTCCTTCCTGTCCCCCTCACCCCTCGTCCCCCTCTGCTGTTGACACCCCCTCCCGCCGCGACACCCCTGCGGGTGCTCCCTTCTGGCCTGCAGCACCCATTGCCAGATTGTCCTCCTCCCTGGACACCCCTGCCCCCGCAGAGCCCTCCTGGGGTGTGTGAGTGCTGAGGGCCTGGCTGCTCTGGGGGACGCAGACACGCAAGCCTGGCGCTGGCGCTGGCGGTGACTTGGCTGTAAGCGGATTTGCCCTCCAGCCCCGTAGCCCTCCCCGCTGGTGCTGCAGCAGCCGTGGGAAGGCCCCAGTACGCCAGGGGGCGTGGCCAGCTCGTGTCTGGCCCTCCCCTCCCTGGAGACTTGGCTGTAGCTGAGTGTGATGGAATCGGGTCATGGTGACCCCGTTTATCTGTCACCTGTGACAAATCGCAGTGTTAGTGCCACATGCAGAGACAGGACCCGACAGGCAGTCGGCCTGGCCACACCCTGCCCGGCCCCCTCCCCGGCCCTGGGAGGCAGCCCTGTGGGGGCTCCCCACTGCCCCCCGCATCTGGCTTTCACATCACAGGAACAATTTAGCAGTGAAGAGGTGGAATTCAGCGGTCGTGGCTCACCTGTCGCCTCAGGAAGCTGGCACCCCGGTGACCTCCTTTCTACCAGCCGGCTGCCGGGACAGGGCGAGAAACCTGTTACTGGGAGCCTGGGTGTGCAGCCTGGGCCTGTCTGTTCTACCCCACCTCCTGCGTGGCTGCTACTGCAGCTCGGTCAGCTTCAAACCCAGCATCTCCCAGGGAAAGATAAGGATTGAAGCCTGCGGCTCCCAGGGACAGGCCAAGGTGTGTGCGCACGCAAGCCCTGGGCAGGGCCTCGCGGGACACTGGTGCTCAGCGTGAGTCACACACGTTCAGCCTGCGCCTCTATTTATTTTTTTAAAGATTTTTAAATAAAATTATTTGGAAGGCAGAGTTACAGAGAGAGGCAGAGAAGAGAGAGGTCTTCCATCTGCTGGTTCACTCCCCAAATGGCCGCGACAGCCAGAGCTCTGGGCCAGGCCAAAGCCAGGAGCTTCCTCCGGGTCTCCCAGGTGGGTGCAGGGGCCCAAGGACTTGGGACATCTGCTGCTGCTTTCCCAGGCCACAGCAGAGAGCTGGACCGGAAGTGGAGCAGCCGGGACTCAAACCAGCACTCGTATGGTGGGGGAACGCCAGCGCTGCAGGTGGTGGCTTTACCCACTATGCCACAGCGCCGTGCATCTCTTTTTAGAAACGAATGCTGCTTTTCCGCTGCCGGCCCAGCTGTCCCCACGTGGGGTGCGGTGGGGCAAGGACGGGGCAGCCACCGTGCAGCCGTGAAAAGCCTGACTTGTCGACAGTGGCCGTGGGCCGCTCAGACACCTGCAGTCTAAGTCCAGGGCAGCCTCTTCTTGAGAGCCAAGTTGAGCACGTCCGTGGCCGTGCAGCTGGGATCGCGGGGGGGCCCGCTTTGGGCCCCGGCCTTGATGAGGGGGGCAGCTGTGCCGTGTGGTCTGAGAAGTTAGCCGGTGGTGGCAGGAAGGTGAGGGAGACCGCAGTGCCGCCCCACCTGCCCCCGGCCCCGTGACCAGGAATAGCCCGTGTGCAGCCCAGAGAAAACCCTGTGTGGTCTGGAGCCAGTGCAGAGCAGGGGTCCCAGAGAGACGGGGCTGCTTCTCCAGTTAACCCCGAGTCTCACGTTGCCCCCTGGCGGAAGAGGACAAACCCGCAGGGCCAGGACCAGCGCTGGGGGCCGCAGGGTGCCGGGATGAGTCCCACCTGCTCAGCTGCCCATCCGGCTCTCTGCTGGGGCACCTGGCAGGCAGCAGGAGACGGCTCAGGTGCTGGGGCCCTGCACCCACGTGGGAGCCCCAGATGGAGCTCCTGGCTCCTGGCTTCAGCCTGGCCCAGCCCTGGCTGTTGCAGGCATTTGGGGAGTGACCCAGCGGATGAGAGATCTCTGTCACTTTCAAATGAATAAATGAATTTTTTTCTATAGTGTTTGGATTGGGGTCAGTCATGTGGACCTCCCAGCGAGAGTGAGGTGGGGCCTGAATTCAGACGGTGGCGCTTGACCCCAGAGCAGGACGCGGATCCAGCCTGTGCGAAGGCCTTTGGGTCCTGGGGTGCAGGTGGGCAGGCAGCTCAGCCCTGTCATGCTGAGCCCCAGAAGCCCCTTGGCCGTCCCGTCCCGGGCAGTTGCTGAGCCTGCTTTGTCCTCCCCGCAGCGTGACTGTCCCCTCTGTGGGTCGCGAGCCCGCGTCTGGGTCTTGGTTCAGTGGACATGGGCCTGCTGCATTGCCGACTTGTGCTGGGCCTGGGAACCCTCGCTGTGCTGCGTGGTGGGGGGTGGGGGTAGTTGGCCGCTTGCCGAGTGCACAGGAGTGATTGATAACTTCCGGAAACACCCTGGTGCTTCCTGTCTGCGCTCGCCTGTCCTGCTGGTGGCTGCCAATGAAGGTGACTCCTGTTTCCTGTCC